CCTCGCATCTTCCCACCGCCACCCTCACTCTCCAAAGACCTGGAAGCAACAACCTTCGTTGCACCTCCTCCTCCCCTTCCCTCCCCCCCTCTTCCCTCCCCTCCTCCTCCTGCTGCAGCTGCCGGCCCTGGCACAGACCGGCCCCTCTCCTCCCCTTGCTGCGGCTTCTTCACCTTCTTAGCAGGCTCTCGCACCTTCCCACCCTTCTCCCCTGAACCCCCAGCCATCCCCCCTCCCCCTCCTCAGGTCCGTTCAGGTTATACATTGCAAGAGATTTCCCCCATTTGTTACTGTGCAATTATTCCAGTTACCAGCCTCTGACTGAACCCCCCCTTTCCCGTTCTTCCCCCCCACCCCCTCCCCCCCTTCCCTTTTCCCTATTCTTACATGTTTCTATCCTGTTGCACCTGACAGAGTGGTGGAGCAGTCTTTTTCTAATGTTCTGAAATTACCTAAATTCACAGCTTTGAGGATTTACAGCAGATTGTAATCTCCATTGTGCCAGGAACACACGTCTTCACAATCATATTCGCACAGATCGCAACAGCACAGAGTTCATGAGAGCACAGGGTGATGGATGGCTGGCTAGCTAGCTAGACACAGGATTCCTTGGCTGGATATGATTGGCAGCTGCTTGACCCACCCAGTGATTTCTTGCTTCAATATTGCCAGTTACATTGCGATCTCTGCTGAAGTACCATGCTTTCGTGTGCAGGCTATTGCAATGCATGGTGCTAAAACTCCAGGAACAGTTCCACAACCTGCTCCCCAGGAGCTGTATTAATATCACGGTACATGGTTCACTGGAACACTGAGGTGAAGATGTGAGCATAATCATCACAGTGCTTTACATGCAAAAGATACCAAGTAGGTTCATCCATCAGGCAACTAGCAGCACTCGAGGATTTACACATGGAAGTACCGTACATGCCTGAGATAAGCCACACGACCCAGGAATAAACAGTAGGTAAACTACCACCCGCCGCAGGACTTACAGTTCCAAAAACACATCCAGAGGACCATAAAAAACACATGGAAAGGAAACCGGCACGATAGAAACAAGACAGATAACAGAACATGCACGGGTTGGACAGCTTGAGAGGGGTGCAGATAGTGGGGTTGTTACAGGAGAAGAAATAAAAACAGTCACATGCGCATAGCAGCATGAAACGACGAGTAGTGAGGGAATCAGTGGTCTGGCAGCAGCTGGTGGTCAGAAGGTTATGGTAGCCTGTCAGTGAGAGCGATAGGTTCGATGTGAGCAAACATGATGTTGCGCGGCACCGTAATGTGAATTCTGAGTTGTCTCAAATGTCACCTCTCGTGCGCATAGGGTTACAGTGGCTGGCTGTCAGCGTGAGTGATGGGAGTGGCCTTAGGATCGAATTCGAGTACCAGGCGGAATGCCTTTCTTCTAGTAGAGCAGCGCAGTCTTGAAGAGGAGTGGAAGGGGAATTATAACTGAAATGCTTGTTGCGCTGCCTCGGGCAGAGAGGCAGCATGACTTTCGAAATCCCTCAGGCGGAAAGCAGCAGTGCAGTGCAGTGCTTGGTGGGCTGGTGGGCTGGCAGCTGGTCCAGGTGAGGAGACCCCACATTACTGCTTGGTTGGCTGGTGGCCAGTGGGCTAGGACAGGAGACCCCACATTACTGCTTGGTGGTTTGGCTCTTTCTAATCCCTCGCATCTTCCCACCGCCACCCTCACTCTCCAAAGACCTGGAAGCAACAACCTTCGTTGCACCTCCTCCTCCCCTTCCCTCCCCCCCTCTTCCCTCCCCTCCTCCTCCTGCTGCAGCTGCCGGCCCTGGCACAGACCGGCCCCTCTCCTCCCCTTGCTGCGGCTTCTTCACCTTCTTAGCAGGCTCTCGCACCTTCCCACCCTTCTCCCCTGAACCCCCAGCCATCCCCCCTCCCCCTCCTCAGGTCCGTTCAGGTTATACATTGCAAGAGATTTCCCCCATTTGTTACTGTGCAATTATTCCAGTTACCAGCCTCTGACTGAACCCCCCCTTTCCCGTTCTTCCCCCCCACCCCCTCCCCCCCTTCCCTTTTCCCTATTCTTACATGTTTCTATCCTGTTGCACCTGACAGAGTGGTGGAGCAGTCTTTTTCTAATGTTCTGAAATTACCTAAATTCACAGCTTTGAGGATTTACAGCAGATTGTAATCTCCATTGTGCCAGGAACACACGTCTTCACAATCATATTCGCACAGATCGCAACAGCACAGAGTTCATGAGAGCACAGGGTGATGGATGGCTGGCTAGCTAGCTAGACACAGGATTCCTTGGCTGGATATGATTGGCAGCTGCTTGACCCACCCAGTGATTTCTTGCTTCAATATTGCCAGTTACATTGCGATCTCTGCTGAAGTACCATGCTTTCGTGTGCAGGCTATTGCAATGCATGGTGCTAAAACTCCAGGAACAGTTCCACAACCTGCTCCCCAGGAGCTGTATTAATATCACGGTACATGGTTCACTGGAACACTGAGGTGAAGATGTGAGCATAATCATCACAGTGCTTTACATGCAAAAGATACCAAGTAGGTTCATCCATCAGGCAACTAGCAGCACTCGAGGATTTACACATGGAAGTACCGTACATGCCTGAGATAAGCCACACGACCCAGGAATAAACAGTAGGTAAACTACCACCCGCCGCAGGACTTACAGTTCCAAAAACACATCCAGAGGACCATAAAAAACACATGGAAAGGAAACCGGCACGATAGAAACAAGACAGATAACAGAACATGCACGGGTTAGACAGCTTGAGAGGGGTGCAGATAGTGGGGTTGTTACAGGAGAAGAAATAACAACAGTCACATGCGCATAGCAGCATGAAACGACGAGTAGTGAGGGAATCAGTGGTCTGGCAGCAGCTGGTGGTCAGAAGGTTATGGTAGCCTGTCAGTGAGAGCGATAGGTTCGATGTGAGCAAACATGATGTTGCGCGGCACCGTAATGTGAATTCTGAGTTGTCTCAAATGTCACCTCTCGTGCGCATAGGGTTACAGTGGCTGGCTGTCAGCGTGAGTGATGGGAGTGGCCTTAGGATCGAATTCGAGTACCAGGCGGAATGCCTTTCTTCTAGTAGAGCAGCGCAGTCTTGAAGAGGAGTGGAAGGGGAATTATAACTGAAATGCTTGTTGCGCTGCCTCGGGCAGAGAGGCAGCATGACTTTCGAAATCCCTCAGGCGGAAAGCAGCAGTGCAGTGCAGTGCTTGGTGGGCTGGTGGGCTGGCAGCTGGTCCAGGTGAGGAGACCCCACATTACTGCTTGGTTGGCTGGTGGCCAGTGGGCTAGGACAGGAGACCCCACATTACTGCTTGGTGGTTTGGCTCTTTCTAATCCCTCGCATCTTCCCACCGCCACCCTCACTCTCCAAAGACCTGGAAGCAACAACCTTCGTTGCACCTCCTCCTCCCCTTCCCTCCCCCCCTCTTCCCTCCCCTCCTCCTCCTGCTGCAGCTGCCGGCCCTGGCACAGACCGGCCCCTCTCCTCCCCTTGCTGCGGCTTCTTCACCTTCTTAGCAGGCTCTCGCACCTTCCCACCCTTCTCCCCTGAACCCCCAGCCATCCCCCCTCCCCCTCCTCAGGTCCGTTCAGGTTATACATTGCAAGAGATTTCCCCCATTTGTTACTGTGCAATTATTCCAGTTACCAGCCTCTGACTGAACCCCCCCTTTCCCGTTCTTCCCCCCCACCCCCTCCCCCCCTTCCCTTTTCCCTATTCTTACATGTTTCTATCCTGTTGCACCTGACAGAGTGGTGGAGCAGTCTTTTTCTAATGTTCTGAAATTACCTAAATTCACAGCTTTGAGGATTTACAGCAGATTGTAATCTCCATTGTGCCAGGAACACACGTCTTCACAATCATATTCGCACAGATCGCAACAGCACAGAGTTCATGAGAGCACAGGGTGATGGATGGCTGGCTAGCTAGCTAGACACAGGATTCCTTGGCTGGATATGATTGGCAGCTGCTTGACCCACCCAGTGATTTCTTGCTTCAATATTGCCAGTTACATTGCGATCTCTGCTGAAGTACCATGCTTTCGTGTGCAGGCTATTGCAATGCATGGTGCTAAAACTCCAGGAACAGTTCCACAACCTGCTCCCCAGGAGCTGTATTAATATCACGGTACATGGTTCACTGGAACACTGAGGTGAAGATGTGAGCATAATCATCACAGTGCTTTACATGCAAAAGATACCAAGTAGGTTCATCCATCAGGCAACTAGCAGCACTCGAGGATTTACACATGGAAGTACCGTACATGCCTGAGATAAGCCACACGACCCAGGAATAAACAGTAGGTAAACTACCACCCGCCGCAGGACTTACAGTTCCAAAAACACATCCAGAGGACCATAAAAAACACATGGAAAGGAAACCGGCACGATAGAAACAAGACAGATAACAGAACATGCACGGGTTAGACAGCTTGAGAGGGGTGCAGATAGTGGGGTTGTTACAGGAGAAGAAATAACAACAGTCACATGCGCATAGCAGCATGAAACGACGAGTAGTGAGGGAATCAGTGGTCTGGCAGCAGCTGGTGGTCAGAAGGTTATGGTAGCCTGTCAGTGAGAGCGATAGGTTCGATGTGAGCAAACATGATGTTGCGCGGCACCGTAATGTGAATTCTGAGTTGTCTCAAATGTCACCTCTCGTGCGCATAGGGTTACAGTGGCTGGCTGTCAGCGTGAGTGATGGGAGTGGCCTTAGGATCGAATTCGAGTACCAGGCGGAATGCCTTTCTTCTAGTAGAGCAGCGCAGTCTTGAAGAGGAGTGGAAGGGGAATTATAACTGAAATGCTTGTTGCGCTGCCTCGGGCAGAGAGGCAGCATGACTTTCGAAATCCCTCAGGCGGAAAGCAGCAGTGCAGTGCAGTGCTTGGTGGGCTGGTGGGCTGGCAGCTGGTCCAGGTGAGGAGACCCCACATTACTGCTTGGTTGGCTGGTGGCCAGTGGGCTAGGACAGGAGACCCCACATTACTGCTTGGTGGTTTGGCTCTTTCTAATCCCTCGCATCTTCCCACCGCCACCCTCACTCTCCAAAGACCTGGAAGCAACAACCTTCGTTGCACCTCCTCCTCCCCTTCCCTCCCCCCCTCTTCCCTCCCCTCCTCCTCCTGCTGCAGCTGCCGGCCCTGGCACAGACCGGCCCCTCTCCTCCCCTTGCTGCGGCTTCTTCACCTTCTTAGCAGGCTCTCGCACCTTCCCACCCTTCTCCCCTGAACCCCCAGCCATCCCCCCTCCCCCTCCTCCTCCCCCTCCACCTCCCCCACCCCCCAGCCCTCCCTCTGTGGGAATTGTTATACCCCCAGTGGGAAGAGCCCCACCTTTGCCCTTAATGGCTGCCTCCAAACTGGCAGGGGAGAGCATGGAGGGGTGCACGGCAGGGGGAGGCGCGCGGGGACTCTCTGCGGTACTAAACGGAATCTGGAGAGCAGGGAGGGGCGGGAAGGGCTTGCGAAACGGACTCCCAGCTGTTCCTGCCCCAGCTGCTGCGGGATTGCCTGGAATACCGGGAGAAGCCATGCTGCTGCTGTTGCTGCTGCAGCTGAGGGGAGGAGCACGAGCAGGGGAGGCAGCAGAAGAGGCAGCAGAGGTTGGTCTAGAAGCAGAGGAGCTGTTCCCGCCTGCAGCACCACCAGCAGACGGGTACAGATCCCCAAACGTCTCAGCAGGAGCGCCCTCTGACTCGCCTCGGGATGATGCAGACACAGGACTACGCCCAGCACCTGCTGCTGCTGCTGCTGCTGCAACTGCGGATGCTGCTATGCCTGAAGGTGCAGAGGGGTTGGCAGCGGTGTGGGCGTGAGTGCGAGTGGTTGAGCCGGAGACGGAGCGGCGGAGAGGCAGGGCGGCGGTGGGAGGGAGGGCGGCAGGCTGGGAGGGCGTGCCGGTGTGAACTCGACGCAGCGGCGCCAACCCCCCTCCCTGCTGCTGCTGTTGCTGCTGAGACTGAGAAAGCCGGTGATGCCGCTGCGGCTTCTGCCCTTGCTGCTGCAGCTGCTGTTGTTGCTGAGAGGCGATCCATTGAGGGTTCACACCATCCCACTGAAGCTCGGGAGGAACTGTGGGACTGCAGAAATCAGGAGTAGGGGACTGGGGGTAGTTCATGCCTCCTCCCATGCCTCCACCCAGGCCTGCCCCAGGAGAATTACCAAAGGCAGCAGGATTGGATTGTTGAGGCATCTGGTTCCGCATGTGGTTCGGGAGGTTGGGGTAGAGTTCTCGCTCAGGGACGCTGCGAGTGCGGAAGAAGGGAGGGAGGACCAGGGTAGGCGGCCCCTCCTGATCCTGCTCCTGCTGGGGTGGCTTCATAGAAACTCCCTGCTGCTGCTGCTGCTGCTGGTACTGCTGCTGCTGATACATTTGCTGCTGCTGCATTTGCTGAGGGTGGTGATTATAGGGATGGGGCGCGTTCGGGCGAGGGGCATTACAAGGCACCATTCCCCCCATCCCCATGCCTCCTGGTCCGCCCATACCACCCCCCGTTCCCCCGCCCAGACCTCCCCCCCTCCCCCCGCCCATACCCGGCCCCATCCCCCCTCCCATCATCTCCCCAGGCATTTTGTTCATGGATGTTCGATCCCCACTCACGCTCCTGCGCATCGGGGGAACCGCAGGCCCCCCAACCGCCCCCCCGCCAAGCCCCCCACCCCCCATAGCTCCCCCCATCCCCCCAGACATTCCCCCCGGCGCTCCCCCCGCCCCCAGCCCCATTCCCCCACCCATCCTTGTCGCGCCCTTGGCTCCCCGCGCCTGCTGCTGCTTCCCCGCGCCCTCCCCATAGTTCCCGCTCCCCCCACTTGCCCTTAGCTTTCCGCCCCCATAATTCCCGCTCCCCCCGCTCCCCCCTAACTTTCCGCCCCCATAGTTTCCGCTTCCCCCGCTTCCCCCTAACTTTCCGCCTCCATAGTTTCCGCTCCCCCCAGCTCCTGCCAACTTCCCTCCCCCATAATTCCCGCTCCCCCCACCACTCCCTGAATTAGCGCCCCCATAATTCGCGCTCCCTCCACTCCCCACCAAGTTCCCGCCCCCGTAATTCCCGCTTCCCCCACTCCCCACTAAGTTCCCCCCTCCATAATTTCCGCTTCCCCCACTGCTCCCTAAGTTCCCGCCTCCGTAATTCCCGCTTCCCCCAGCGTATCCTGGGCCATTCGAAGGCGGGTTGAGGGAGAGTGAGGCGGCGGCTCGGTCTAACGAAGCAGAGGGGAGGCTCGCAGCGCGTTTGCCGGCGATAACGGCGCGGCGCTGGGCTAAGGGGGGCAGGTTTAACTGGACAGGTAGGTCTGAACCGTCGTCCTGCTGACGCTGCTGCTGCTGCTGTGGTGGTGGTTGTTGTTGCTGCAGCTGCTGCTGCTGCTGTTGTTGTTGTTGCTGCTGCTGCCCCGCTTGAAATTGACGTTGGGCCAATGGGGGTAGGTGTAACTGGACGGGTAGATCTGAATCATCGTCCTGCTGCTGTTGCTGCTGCTGCTGTTGTTGTAGCAGCAGCTGCTGCTGCATTGCTTGCGATTGGCGCTGAGCTAGAGGGGGCAGGTGTAACTGGACGGGTAGATCTGACGCATCGACCTGCTGTTGCTGCTGCAAGTGCTGCTGTTGAAATTGACGCTGAGCCAAGGGGGGTAGGTGTAACTGGACAGGTACATCTGAATCGTCGTCCTGCTGCTGCTGCTGCTGCTGCTGCAGCTTCTGTTGTTGCTGCTGCTGTTGTAGCAGCAGCTGCTGCTGCATTGCCTGCGACTGCCGCTGGGCTAGGGGGGGCAGGTGTAACTGCACAGATACATCTGAACTGTCATCCTGTTGCTGCTGTTGCTGTTGTAACAGCAGCTGTTGCTGCATTGCTTGCGACTGCCGCTGGGCTAGTGGCGGCAGGTGTAACTGGACAGATACATCTGACGCATCATCCTGCTGTTGTTGCTGCAGCTGCTGCTGCTGCAGGTGCTGCTGTTGCACCGCTTGAAATTGACGCTGGGCCAACGGGGGCAGGTGCAACTGCACAGATACTTCTGAACTGTCGTCCTCCTCCCGCTGCTGCTGCTGCGGCGGCGGCGGCATATGTTGTGCTTGGCGCAGCGGCTTCTGCTGCTGCTGCTGCTGCTGCTGTTGCTGCTGCGGAGGCGGCGCTTGATGCCTCTGCGCTCCCCCTACTTGCGGAACGCCTTGTTGCGCCACTCCGCCTCCCCCTCCCCCTCCGCCGCCTCTCCCCCGGCCCCGCGGCCCCCCCATGGGCCCAGTTCTTCCCCCCGATTCTCCCCTTCCCCCCGATACCCCCCTTCCGGCCGTTCCCCCCATTCCGCCGGTCGGCGCAAGCCCCGCTGGCCCTGGCCGCGCTTTTCCCCCGCTTCCGCGTACCTCATCCTCGTACTCGGGGTACGCGTCCCCGTCAGCTGTGTACTCGTCGATGTAACCGTACGGTGCCTGGTTGTAACCCTGCTGCGTTACAGCGTGTCCGACTCCGCCGGGTTGGGGGGGACCGGCGGAACCCCCCCTGCCGCGCGGCTGCTGATTGAGCTGCTGCTGCTGGTGCTGTCCCGCATACTGTCGCTGCTGATTCGTTATAGGCTGATTCGACTGCGGCCTTGGCTGCTGCTGCTGCTGGAAGTCACTTATGCCGTTAGCGTACGGAGCTTCGCCTCTCAGGGCGGCTTGTCCAGCCTGACCGCGAACCTGAGGCATCTAGTAGCTTTGCTGAGATTCGAACCCGCGACCTTGAGAGTCAGTCCCGACACCCTTCATGCATCATCCCCACTGCCACATGTCCAACGTTCATATCCCTGTCGGCGCCGCTTAAAGCCAAATTGCATCTCGTCAACTGACGCTTAACCCGAAAATACGCCGTTCTCGTTCGACTATTGCATCTCGTTCGAGCGCGACTTCTACATGATAAAAAGCATGCGGGAAATGATCGTACCTATGCTTGCAACTTACCTAGATAGTAAGCTATACACGTTAATGCTAAACAATCCGAAATTGTAAATCTTAGGTAAGAATAGATAAACGATAGAGCTAAACGAGGCCGTAATCTCGTGCGCAGACCATCTAAACTTCTGCTCAAACTGTCCTAAAACCTTAGTGGCCTGGATTGCCAAAACAGACAGCTGTGTGGGTGGTGGGTGTTGGTGGGGTGTACGGAAAAACAGGTGCCAGAACAACAGTGTCTTGAAACTCCCAACTCCCAGGTTCCAGTCTGTCTCAATTGAACTCAAGTCCCAAGGGTGATGGGAAGTGGCAAAACTGGAACCTGGGCGATGGCAACTGGCAAGGCAACATGGAGAATGCCGAACCACATAAGCAGCAAAACGGTACTTGGAGACAGAGGGAGGGAAAGGAGGTGGGTGGGGGACAACCTATCAGCTTTCTAGCCACACCAGCCCAGCAAACAGTCATATACGCGTTACTGTATACGTATCCGCTTGAACACGAAAATGGGCAATCGTAGAAGAAGGCAATGAGCCTTTTGAAACAATATCACGAAATTTGATTGGACCGAGTATTCAACATAATGCATTCGATTATACAGCTATTTGATTTCTTTTCACAAGCATCAAGTCTACTTGTATCATGTTTCTTAGTGAGAATACATATATATCATCCTCTGAGCCATGCAGAAAGATTAACATCAATATTTTAAGTTTTTATGTTTTTGTTTCAAGCCATGCATGCTTTGGCTTTGATATGTATACTATGTCGTTCGCGTGAGCTCAACAGCGGGTTTTGCAGCTTCGGACGACTGCCATGCCACAGACAGACGTCAATCCACGAAACGGAACGTGTGTGGCCGATCTGGATCTGGGTCGAAGTCACGTCAACCTGGCATTGCGCCCACTGCCACACCAGTGTGGCGAGGGTGTCTGCAGCGTTGACCACCAATCCGCGTCGTTCGTTCTCCTTGTCACTTCCGCAAGTTTCTTCCATATAAAACCACTCGACACCGTACAAGAACGGAGCGAGTGGTTTTCTCCTTGTCAGTTACGACTGTGGAGCAAGTTGCTCCAATGTTCGACCCACCCACCTCTCTCGCTTGACTTTTCTTTTGTGCTTCCAGTCTAGAGCCCATTCACATGTGGATGGTACGGCATGCCCATAAGGTGTATTCCTGCTCGTTTCAGACTCGGGGGTCACAGCTGCTTTCCACGTCCGGTGAGGTCTTCGTCTGCAAAAAAACCATCACTAAGCATTTGAGTTCAGGCCAAGTTTCAGTCCCAGCTCATTCACTCAGCAAAAACAGCGGCAGCGAGGTATGGCAACAGCTGCAGCGGCGGCAGCAGCAGCAGCAACTGCAGGGGGGCGCACCGCCCATGCAGTGGCGGTCTTGATCAACAAGAGGAGCAGGAGAATAGTTGCCCGCAACGGAGTGCGCAATGAAAGTTGCACATTGCATGAAGATGCACCTGCAGGCCAAATGCAAGCCCACAAAGATGTTCGCGAGCGAAAGTGCTTGCCCTTGCTTGCTTGGCTGAATGAAATGACAGCACTGATCTGTCTTCTCGATCACTCCGACCTCTTCCTCTCCTATTCTCGGGAGCGCGAATAAGAACTGTCGTGAGTCGTGACCTTTGCCTCGATCGCGATTTTTGTTACTCATAGCTGTCTTTTCGTAAGCGTTTCGCCGCAACTGACGGCGGAATCTACGGGCATGGCGACCAGAGGGCAGCAGCGCATGCAGAGCTGTAGATTAAAGCTGCAGCCGCTC